GGGGGGGGCTAGTTGGTAATCAAAGTTCTGGCCATTCTTTAATTTGCATTATCTTCATCTGAAGGTTTACTTGGAAAGCCTTCTCTTATTTTTTGTATTTCCCTCTCCTATGATCCTGCAGGTTCCACTTTCAAGTTTTTACATCTCATCCTCAATTGTTCACTCATTTGGTTTAGTCCACTCTGCTGCTGTTACCCTCCCTAATGTTCTTCCAATTTGGGTTTAATTGCTGTCCTTGTTGATAAATATGGTTTTTATGAAACTGTATTTTTAAATCTTGCTTATCACAAGTTATGCTTTTGCACCACAAGTATGGGCTATAGATATTTTAATAAAATACTGTTCCAAAACAAATGGCTCTGGTTTGCCACCTCCTTTTGTTCGCTGCTACTCTTTTGAAGAAAATGAAAAGTCCTATCAGACTGCTCACTTGAAAGCACACAAAGAGAATTTTCCTGAAAATTAGTATATGAAAAGCATTTAAGATTCTTTGTTGGCTTTTGACAAAACAAAATTCTGTAATAGAGTGTAGTCCTAGGACTAGAGCCATGAGGCAAGTTATTTAATACAGTTGCCCCTCTGTTTTTGCAGACTTCAAGTCCGTGGTCTTGGTCATTCATGGACTGGCAAGCCGCATTGGCTAAAATGGCACTTGTGCCCATGGCATGCATGCAGGGCCACATACAGAAGTGTGCAGCCATTCAAGCCAATGAGGCTTGAATATCTGCACTTTTTCGTTTTCGCTGGGGGTCCAGAACAGATCCCTCATGAAAACAGGCAACTGTAATAATGAAATACCCTTCAAGTATAGCTGGAGGAAGTTAATTAGGAAAGTACAGTGGTGCCATCATTCAAAGATGTTCCAATTCAAAGTCTTAATTACTACTTGAAATCCTCTACTAGTGATAGAACCTTTGACATAGTTGCAGTTTATTCTGTCAATATCCTAGGAACTTGCATGTTTGATGTTTAGAAAGTAATTATCAGTCATGGCTGTTGGGGCAGCAGCTAAAAGGAGGTGGATATCGTTTTTAGGTATAAGTGAAGGAGTATATTACTGGATGTACATCTGTATCACTTTTAATCCTCCATTTTGGCGCTTTTTGCTACTGAGAGATATAACTGTTTCTTTAAAACATTACAGAAAGAGTTGTCGATGAAGTCAAGCAGCACTGGAATGATTTTCAATTCTACACTCAAGGAGAACTTAGGTGAATGAACCTATCAACTTCAGCTGACAACAAGACTCACTGAATAAAGGGCTATTCAATATAGGTTTATTGTTAAAATAATTACTATCTGTACAGCATATAATCAAGGTATATAGTACTTTTTATTTAAAAAAAAACCTCCTGATATCTTTGTATATCTTGTATGATGCAAAATGCAGGTGCCGTGCATTTTATTAGGCTGATCATTGTGTTTTCTAACTACATTTTATAATGTCTATTTTAAGATTATAAAAGCATTTTTTGTATTTTCAGTGTGAAAAAATTATGTTTCTATTCATCACTTTTACTAATACTTATGTATTAAGAAGTGTTTTCTTTTTCCCTTTGAGAGTGTTTTAAGCATTAATGCACACCAGTTTGGACACAGATAAAATAAAGTGCCTATGACATTCTGGGCTCTTTCTCACTGCTGAAACCAGCACAATTCTGCCAAATGAATTCATATTTATTAGGAACCTTCTGCCTATGAATCACCCTGTCCTCATTCAATGGATGTTGAGACTTCCAGTGTTGGGCTTTAATGCTTTGTCACCAAAGAAGTCTGTGGAACATAAAGGCTCCCATCTTTAGAAGGTGCCCAAATACATCAAGATATAGCCTAAAATCAAATAACTATATACCAATTAACATGTTTCAACACATGTTGAAGCATGAGGTTCTCCTACTTTGACCACATTATGAAGAGGCATGACTCATTAGAAAAGACAATGATGTTAGAAAATGTAGAAGGCAGCAGAAAGAGGAAGACTGCATGCCAGACGGATAGACTTAATCAGGGAGGCCAAGAGCCTGAACCTGCAGGATCTGAGCAGAGCAGTGGAGGACTGGGGGTCTTGAAGATGTCTCATCCACAGGGTCGCCATGAGTTGAGGTCAACTCGAAGGCAGTTACAACAACAGACCACATGTTGGAGAGCTATGGCTGTTGGTCCTTGCTAAAACATCCATGCATGATCTGTTTGTCTGGCACCTTTCTGATATTTAGTTTACAAGTTTTGCCCATATTTCGGCAATCAGGCTACCAGTATGTGGTTAAATAGATTTTTTTTATTATTATTAAATGTAGCATAAGGTCTGAGATGGTATTCTCACAGTTTAAAAAATGCCTTCAGTCTAAGAAGCTGTATATCATTTCATGCAGGGGATCTAAGGTTGCAACCCTAAAACATATTTATTACAGCAAAGGAGGGTAACTTGGCCCACCTAGATGTTGGACTACAACTTCATTAGCTGTAGCCCATATGCTGAGGAAATATGTGAGATGTAGTCCAACAGAATAGAGGGCCACAGTCACCTACCTGTGTCCCAGGATATAAGCTGAATAAAGTACAGTTGCATAGGATTGCTGTATATCCAACTTTTATGCTATTCTTGATATTGCATAATCAGTTTTTAAAGGGATAAAAGAGGACTTTTAAAATTCAAAATTGTCCACATGGGTGTCTCAGAGTGACACCTTTGTTTTTTGATGGCTCAATGTACACAAACTTCGTGCACAAAATTATTAAAAAGATTGTGTATAAAATTATCTTCAGGCTATGTGTATAAGTTCTATATGAAACATAAATGAATTTCATGTTTAAACTTGGTTTTCATCACTTAGATATTAATTTAAATTAATTTAATTAATTGATGACAACTTACAGAATTTCATTTATTTATTTTACTTTTAATTGGGTGTCAGCCCTTCTAATTATAACTTTACATGTAAACTTTGTGAAAGAAATTGAGAAATGTCAGGAGGCTGGGAATCATTGCCTGTCTCCACAGCTCCAGCCAACATCAAGGGAGCACTCATCATGCCAGCACTGCCAACCTGCTGAAGCTGAAAGCCTTGGCAATGGGGGGACATAGAACAAATGGAGTCTATT